CCCTAGGATGGATGTGGCTTACAGTCAAGGCAATGTTACTAGCCTTCTGGGGAGCCTTGTGCATAGGGGCCCAGGCCCTTATTTTTCCTGAAATGGAGACCGTCCAGCAGGTTGGAAGCAATGCCCAATTCTAGCAGGCCCAGTTTGTAACTAGGGCTCAGAACTTTTAGAGTATGTTCTTCTACTCCTTCCTCTTATTTTTCAAAAGCAAGCTGGCCTGTTACATGTCCATTTTCCTTAAGGCTGTTCTACGAGAAATTGGGAATGAACCCTCATTTGCTTATTACTTTCTCAAGCTTAATCAGAGGAATGGAAATCTAATTAATATTGACTGGGCTAGCATATCTTACATAGGGAGACAAGATTAATAAAACAAAACATTCTTCTGGGTATGTATTATTCTGGTTGCATAGTACATTTCAAGCTCAAACACTTTTCCAAGGAGTACAATTCATACAAGAAAATTCTATATAAGAAAATTCTTTTTTTTAATTAAAGTATAGTTGACACAACATAAGAAAATTCTTACTACAGGGTGGTTCCTGCTTGATCTTTTTATTCCAAACTATATCACAACTTTTTTTTATTATTTTTAAATTTCTTTATTCCTATCAGAAAATTTTAAAGTCTTGTTTCTCTTAAACTTTCCATACCATTTTCAGTGATAAATAAGCCCACAGTCAGGTGCTAGAAGTTTAGAAATAGTTGTACTTTATAATATATAGGATCATCCTGAGAATCAATTTAAATGACAAAAACATGCTTTCAGGAACACACGTGTCTTTTCAAATGCAAGATCATAATGATATATATAACATCTATTCTATTAGTATAACAGTCACTGTTGTTACATTTATTTGGTTGTATTGTTTCTTAAGCGGATTGTTATTTTGTTACTGATAACATTACACTAATAAATAATGAGAGGCAACATTTTATAGCAGGCGAAGGGCAGACTTACGTTCAAGTGCCTGCTGCGTCAGGTACTATCTGGGTGAGTATGGGCATGTTAATTTACTCTGTGCTTGTTTCCTCATTTATTAAAGGGGGATACATATACTTTCCTTGTAGAGATGTTTAAGGTGTATAATTCTCTATCCAAAGTACCTTGTACAATGCCTGATATTAAATGAACTGTCACTGAACAGTTACTATGGCTGTTATTATCATTAATAGTCTTATGACTAATGAAGACACTGACTTTGGTGGAAATTAATTCCCTTATGGAGAACTGAACATGAATGAAAGACAATGGAAGTCTTTAAAAATGCCTCTAGCTTTCTGACCATTTGGCCAGGGAACCTGAGTTACCATCCTCACTTCATAAATGCAAAGTAGATGTATAAAAGGAAAAAAAAAGCTCTATTTTATTCTCTCAAAGTATTCATCAAATGAGGTAGGATTTCTGGGAAAGATTAAGAGCTTACATTTTTTATTGGACTTATTTCCCATAAAGTTTCATAAAGGATGAAAGGAGGGGACGTGCAGAAGCGTACTATTTCTGTTTTATCTGCAACCTGTGATTATAAATCTTCCTGAGACATCATTAATTATAGTGGTGCCGTTCACAATGCTGCAATTTGGGCCTATTAGAATTTTCACCCAAAATTTCGTGCCTGGGGCTTAGTAATTGGCAGCTGAGTTTTTGTATGAGGCTGAAACTTATAGGCTATGACAGAGGGGGAATGTCTTTAAACTAGTTGCTATAGACTGACTGTTTGTGTCCCCTCCAAATTCATACGTTGAAATCCTAATCCCCAATGTGGTGGTATTTGTGGGTGGGGCCCTGGAGAAGTAATTAGGTCATGAGGATGGAGCCCTCATGAATGCAGTTAGTGCTCTTATAAAAGAGACCCCAGAGAACTTTCTCACCCTCTTTCCTGTGTGAGGATAAAATGAGAAAAGGGCCATCTGCAACTCAGAAGAGGGCTCTCACCAGGGCTCAACTGTACTGCACCCTGATCTTGAATTCCAACTCCCAGAACTGTGAGAAATAAATTTCTATTGTTTATAAGTCACTATGGTGGCCATGGTGTTCTGTTACAGCCGCCCACACTGACAAAGACAGGTGCTGTGCACAGAAAGCCCAGAAACCTATGAGAGGTTGCCCCAAAAGTTCAAGGCTGAGGGATGAGTTTTACAGGCACAGGGTGAGATCACCGGAGACTTGCAGTTAGCAGCTGCTATGGGGTTGAGAGCAGAAAAGAAATGCTTAAGATCAGGCAGTACTGGGGATATTGGAGTACTGAACATTCCACAGAGGAGAGATCTTTTTAACACTTTGTATAATACTCTTGGAATCCAGCTGATACACCAGAAAGTCTGCACTCTAGTATAAAGAACAATGTCCTAGAGTTAGGCCTGCACTAGACTCACCTGAACAAGGTCTACAGCTAAGCCTGTTGGAGACAGAATTTGGAAGAGACAGAGTTTGGAAGTTGAGTCCTACCAAGTTAGATGGGCTTTTAGAACATATTGGGCTTTCCACATATCTGCACTAGTGAAGTATATCACTAAGTCTGTATAAGTGTAAGGTAATCACCCCATAATTAAACTGCCTGCTAAAATAAAGATCAACACCCTTCAGAGAAAGATAATAGAATCCAGGTTCTTACAATGTGTTATTCAAAATATCCAGTGTTCAATAAGAAAAATCACTAGACATACAAAGAAACAGGAAAATGCAATGCATAGTTATGAAAACATTCAGTTAGTAGAAGCAGAACTTGACATGGCACAGATGTTGGATATAACCTATATAGACTTTAAGGCAGCTATTGTAAATATTCTCAAGGAAATAAAAAAGGATATATTCAAAGGGTAAAGGAAAATTTGGTCCTAATGAGTAACAAATAGGGAATCTCGGTAGTCATGTGAAAACTGAAGAAAAGAAAAAGACCACGTGGAAATTTTAGAACTGAATAATATATTAACTGAAATGAAAAATTCACTGGATGGTGGGAGTATATAGACTGGCATGGTATTCTGGACAGCAACTTGGAATTTTTGGGTCAAACTAAGACTATCCATACTCCATGACTTAATTTCTCTTCTGTTCATCATATACCATATGGAAAATTGAAAAAACCTAAGCACAAACTGGGGAAGATATTTGTTAACACATATAATTGATGAAGAATTAGTAGCCAGGATATTTAAAGAACTCCTGTAAATCAGTGAGAGAGCGAGCGAGCAAGGGAGCAAGAGAGAAAGTGAGCAAGAGAAAAACAATCTAATTAAAAAAATAGCAAGAGAACTAGTAGGCAGTTCATAAAGAGAAAATGGCAAGACTAATAAAACCATGAAAAGGTGCTGAATCTCAATAATAATAATAATAATAAGAGACGCAAAACAAATCCACAGTGAGATACCTGGACTATACACACTCAACTATATAAACATTAAAAGATCTAAACAATACCAAATGTTGGTGAGGATGTGGGAAAACAAGAACTCTTATACACTCCCAGCAGGAACATAAATTGGTTCAACTAGTTTGGAAAATGGTGTGGCATTACCAATTAAAAACTCTCATGTACAAAACTTCATACCCAGTTAATCCACTCCTACTGGAACATGCATGCACTATTAGACATGTACTAGAATGTTCATAACAACATTGTTAGTAATAGCTAAAAATGGAAACAGTGCCAGTGACCATCAATAGTAAAAAGAATAAATATTCAATATATTGGAGTACTATCCAACAATAAAAAACTTCAGCTACACAGCATCAATATTGGGTGAATTCCACAACGTAATAGTGAGAGAAGCAAGTCAAAGAAAAATACAACTGGTATAATTTCATTTATATAACCTCAATAACAGGAAACAAATTAAAAACATCTAGTTTAGAAATGTACACATGAGGGGCACCTGGGTGGCTCAGTCGGTTAAGCATCTGACTCTTGATTTCAGCTCAGGTCATGATCTCAGGGTGAGATGGAGCCCCATGTCTGGCTCCATGGAGCCTGCTTAAGAGTCTCTCTCTCCCTCTCCCTTTGACCCTCCCCTCCAAAAAATTAAAAAATAAATGCATACATGAATAGCAAAAGTATTTAGAAAAGTAAGGGAATTATTGTAACAAAAGTCGGGGAGTAGGGGAGTGGTTTCTCCCAGGGGAAGGAAGGCAATGCAATCGTTGGGGCATTTCTAAGGTGCTAGTAATGTTCTATTTCTTAACCTGTGTGTTAGTTGCCCAGTTATTTGCTTTATTGTTTAAGATGAACATATTTTATACACTTCTCTATGTATAATGTATTTCACAATAAAAATTATTTTTGAAAAAAAAGACTGGATTGGACAATCTCTTAGCTTCTTGTCATCTTTGATGGTTTATGGCCCAAGCCCTTCCCAAATGGATTTATTGTTGGCTCTGCATTGACAGTTCAGTTTAAGCAATATACATTGAGATGCATATGCAGTGAATTGGGAAACCTTGAAGGGAGAGGGGGACACACTAACAGAATCAGAGTAGGAAACTAGAAAGAGGAATGTGATCTGATTCACGCCTCAGTTCTCAGGGAGGCAACGGATTTTCATGAAAGGTCCTGAGTTCCAGTCCTGGTTTTATCTTCTTCTGGGCAAGCCTCTTCTCTAATCTTCAACTTCCTCATGCTGGCTTTGTAAACTGTACTGTGAAATTCAAATAGAGAATCAATAACAATTACTATTCTTCTACAGTTGGGGAAACTGAAGCCTCACTGGGACTCCACTAGCCCAAGGTGCCATCGCCACCTTGGAACTCAGGGCTCCTGAGTCCAACTCCCTGACCTGGGCACTGTCCCACTACAAACAGCTAGCTATTCTCTCCTTTGTCTGGCTTTGAGCCCACGGTTTGATGTCATAGAAGAACTGCCCCGCCCCACCCCGCTCCTTCGGAAGCCACGCCTCCTCGCGTGGCCCCGCCTCTGGCGTTCGCCGAGCCCCGCCTCCTACCTCTAGTCCTGGAGTGGCGGCTCCGGCGCTTCCCCGCCCCGCCTCTCTTCCGGCCCCGCCCCTCCCGGCTGCCATGACAACGAGTCCGCGCCCCGCGCACAGCTGCTGCTCGGGCGGGACCCAGGCTGGACCGCGGGCCCCGGCCTGGGGGCCACAGCTGCCACCGCCGCCGCCACCTCGTCTCCTCCCCGTCCCCGCCCCGCCCCGCGTCTCCTCGTCTCACTCGGGCCCGCGGCCGGGGTCCCTCCCCGCCGCCTCACCCCGCGCGGATGCCGAAGGTGAAGGCGCTGCAATGCGCCCTGGCGCTGGAGATCCGCTCTGTGAGTACCGGTCGTGCCCCCCACCCCCGCGCCTGGGTATCGGTGAGCCTCCGGCATTTACTCGGGGACGCCTCCCTCGTTCACCTCCTTGAACCCGGAGTCACTTCAAAAACTCCTTTACCCTCCGAATCATCCCTCGGGAGTCTTGACCCGTGTCACCTCTGTCTCTTCCCGCTTCAAAATCCTGAAGGCCCTCCCACTCCAGCCACGCAGAGCTCTGTCTCCCCCCACCGCGGCCCCCCTCCTCGGCTCTTCTCGCTCTAGCCCAGCTTCCAGTTTGGGTTCCTTCAGATTATTTCCAAACCACTTCAGAAAGCCCCTCCTCTCCTGCCCCTAACTTTCCAGTCAATTGGGATGGGGAGCTTCTCTTTAAATTCCTCTTCTCTGCTCTTGTTCTCTTAGAGAGTTCTCTTAGAGAACCCCGTTTCTCTCCAGTCGTCAAGGGGGACTTTTCTCCCCAGATCACTGCGGGCAGATTCTTTCAGACAAATTTCCAAGCTTCTGATTGGTGAAGGAGCCTTTACTCTCAGTCTTCAGTGTGGGATGCTCACACCCTGCAACCAAATTGTGTCAGCATTGCACAAAGCACCTTGCCATCTGCCCCCAGGGCCAACCCCTCAGAAACCATTTCAGGTCCCTCCAATCCCCAGACCCTCCCGGAGGTGAGAGGGATCCCTTATCCTTCTTGCCACTCCAACAAAGGCACCAACTTTTACAGAGAAACTACTCATTCTCTGAACTTGCTGGAGAGGACCAGCAACCCCACCCACAGTCACTCTCCAGACTTGCTCAAGAGGATCCTGTCCCCAAACCTGCTGTGGAAATCCAGTTGAGGCATTGAACCCCCATGTCCTTCCTTAAGTGAAAGAGGTTGGACCTCTCCATGGTATGAGAAATCTCCATCCCTCTTAATTATCTCAGAAGAGCCTTCCAAGGGTTTTGTTTTTTTTTTTTAAAGATTTTATTTATTTATTTGAGAGAGAGAGAATGAGAGACAGAGAGCAGGAGAGGGAGGAGGGTCAGAGGGAGAAGCAGACTCCCTGCCGAGCAGGGAGCCCGATGCGGGACTCGATCCCGGGACTCCAGGATCATGACCTGAGCCGAAGGCAGTCGCTTAACCAACTGAGCCACCCAGGCGCCCCTGAATAATCTCAATTTTTGAAGAAGTACATACACTTCTCTACGTTTAAACTCGTCTAATAATTTAGATGAGATTTTTTTTAAAGATTTTATTTATTTATTTGAGACAGAGAGAATGAGAGAGAGAGAGCACATGACAGGGAGGAGGGTCAGAGGGAGAAGCAGACTCCCTGCCGAGCAGGGAGCCGGACGCGGGACTCGATCCTGGGACTCCAGGATCATGACCTGAGCCGAAGGCAGTCGCTTAACCGACTGAGCCACCCAGGCGCCCCGTTTCCAAGGGTTTTTAAACTCCCTCCTCTTCACTTTTACAGAACCTTCTCTTTCTTGTGTTCAGACGAAAGCTCCAGCTTGTCTCTTCTAGAGGAATCCCCAGAGAACCTTTCCATATTCCCATTTCAGATGTGCCAGCAGTTTGGAACCAAAATTCGCCATTCAGACCCTTTTCTCTCCTTCCACCTCCCCTAAGCCCTGTTACCTCTCAACTCTGATCTCCCAGCAAAACTGGGGCAGGTATGTATGTGTGAGGGTACTTATGTATCCAACACCATGCCTCTGAGTGCTGCAGCTAGAAGTCTTCCCCACTTCTTCCTGCAGGCATGGCTTCTCTGTCCACTTAACCCACCCTTGGCCATGCCCTGCTTTCGTGGCTGTCCTTCCTCGAATTAGAATGAGGCCACAGTAACACAGTCCGAGTTACCTCCAGGGAAGTCACAAGACAGTTCTAGATCTTTTGTTAGGTCTTAAAGAAGGCAAGGCTGGGTAAGGCAGAGTGTGAGGCAGAGTGGAAGGGAAGAATATTTCTGGCACTCTTGGTTTATCTCTAAACCCACAGAGATTTTACTGTGCTGTGTGGGAAACTACAGTCCTAGCTTCGGATGTTTTTATCCCACAGCTGCCAAAGATTAGCAACTTCTTTGTAAAGTAAGATTCCTTTAGCAAAAGAATACACGAAGCTTCCTTAACGGCTTGGCCTGGAGCAGTTAGTAAAACTCCTCACCAGACTTTGTTACTGGCCGCTGCTGCCTCCTCTGCCAATAGGATCTTCAAGAGGAAGTGCTTTGTTGTAACTGATTACTGCCCGAAGGAGTTGCAGAAATACTTTTGATTTCGGTACCTCTCTTCCTCAGTGCTGGTTGTACTGCAGAAAGTGAATTTAGTATAATGGAGCTTTGTTTTCATTGAAGCTGAAGAAATTATGCAGGTGGAAACATTCCTATTTAACTTTTTTCAACAAACACCTGAGTCACAGAATTTTACAGTTCTAAGCATCTTAGATATCATTGAATTTAATTCTGTTTTACAGGTGAGGCTTAGCATGGCTAGTTATTTATTTAGGGTTGCAAAACTATTTAGGGGCAGATCTGCAACAAGATGCTAAGTTTTCTGACCAGCAAAAGGCCTGTTAAATGGCTCTGATGCTGAGAAGGAGCAAAAAAGACCATCAGCAACCATACAAGTTAAGCAAGCTTGATTAATTTGGCCTTGATTGAATAGAAGAATTATATGACCCTAGATACTTTTAACATCTTTTAAATTTTAGTTTTTTCTTTTCAATTTAATTTTTTATGTTTACATGGTATAAAAGTCAAAACCTACAAAATGTTATACTCAGAGCAGTCTCACATCCAGCCCTCAAACTTATTTCCCATCCATACTCATCTGCTGTAGGTAATCATTTTTATTGGTTTCTGAATTATTCTTCTAGTATTTCCTTTTGTAATAACCAAATAGATACATATACACACCATTCCCCTCACATATATTTTTTCTTTGCTTCCTTTCTTATATAGTAGGTAGCATATAAACTATTCTGTACTTCGCTGTTTTTCTTCAGTTTATCTCTGTATCTATAAAAAGTTGACATCTTTATTTTCCAACTTTTTATTGACATTTTTCAAACATACAGAGTAGTTAGAAGAATAGTACAATGAATGACTATATCCCACGACCTATGTACATTAATTTGATTTATCCGTACATAAGTATATGTATATGTACAAAATAAATGTGGCTTTTTGGCTGAAAATTTGGAAGTAAATTGTTGGTATCATAATACGGCACTCCTAAATACTTCAACACACATCTTCTAAAAATAAGGACATTGTTCTGCATAACCACCGTACTGTTAATACACTTAAGATCATGAGTGACAATTTGTTAATATCTAGTGCACATTCAAGTCTTCCCAGTTGTCCCACAAATAACTTGCATAGTTAATTTTTTAAAACCAGGATCCAATCAAGGTTTACATGTTGCATTTGGTTGTTAGGTCTTTTTAGTCCATTTTAATACAGAGTTGCTCTACTTTTTCATTCCCATGATCTTTCCTTCCTCCCCCCGCCCCCCAGTGTATTTAGATAAATTCATGCACTCATGTAATCATCACTCAGGTCAAAATTTAGCACACTTCTATCACCCTAGGAAATTCCCTTGTGCCCCCGTCAAGCCCCATGCAGAGGGAACTACTATTCTGATTTCTATTACTATAGATTAGTTTGCCAGTATGTGAACTTCATATTAAATGGAACCATGTAGTATGTAAATTTTGTGTCTGGCTTCATTTGCTCAGCATATTTTTGAGAGTCATCCGTGTTACTGTGTGTATCAGTTCCTTTATATTGTATGTGTATATGACAACATCTTTAGCCATTCTCTAGCCATTGGGTTGTTACCAGGTGGTGGTTGTCATGGATAAAGCTACCGTGGACATTCATTCTTGTAAAAATCTTTCTGTGTATATTACCTTTTGAAGAGACCACGTCCAGATATAGAATATCCCATTTCGTATTATTGCCTGAATTTTTTTCCCTTTGTGGTGACATTTAATTTATTCCTAATTCCTATTAACTGGAAATTAGATGTTTTATCTCTTTGTGCCTGTTGAAAGTGTGACATTCCATCCTCCTTTCCCCCCATCCCTTCCATGATTATTTTTTGCTGCAGTCTTGTATTGGTAGTAATCTCATGTTTAATACTGTGGTAATATGAGAGCAAAAACCTAGTAAACATGAAAGGTCTTAGTGTATAACACAACATTTTGTGTTGCTCCACAGAGCCATATGACTTGAGAGAAAAGTGTGACTTTTCTCAATGAATCTTTGGAGAATGATATAATAGGCCAAGTAACTTGTTTTTCAAGAGCAGCAAAAGAATTACATTTCCTACCACTTACACTTTTACTTTTTTTTTTTTTTTTAAGATTTTATTTATCTATTTGGCAGAGAGAGAGAGATCACAAGTAGGCAGGCAGGCAGAGGGAGAGGGAGAAGCAGGATCCCTGATGTGGGGCTCGGTCCCAGGACCCTGGGATCATGACCTGAGCCGAAGGCAGATGCTTAACCCACTGAGCCACCCGGCGCCCAACCACTTACACTTTTAATAGTTGATACATCTTATCTATGACATGAAAAAGTATTTTTGCTGCTTCTTGTCTCTACCTTCTTTTTGCTAATTAGTAGTTCAGTTTTCATGAGGTTTTTTGGGAGAATGGAAGAAATTGAAGAGAGAAAAATAAAGCCCGGTGCCTGGGCAATGAAACCAGCCAATTTGCCTTACCTGAATAGTGTCAGGTTGGGGTTAGTTTAGACATATATTCCTGGTTTTTCTTCTCTATACTCCCTTTACCTCATTACCTCATCAAATTATTGATAACATTGGGGCAAACAGATCTGGGTCCTTTCTCATCACTACTCATCTAAACATTTGTGATCCTTATCCAGCTTTCTGTGGAGTCATGTCTCACAGTCGTGCTGCGGTTGGTGGTGAATTTCCTTGGAATATAAACTTTTAAAAACTTTAACTAAAAAATACTTGAAACTTAGAGAAAAAAACCTGAATACTCTGATTCCACCCTCCCC